GGTCTCTCTGCTCTTCCTCGGGGCTCCTGCGCCTCGGGAACGTCCCTGTCCTACTCAATCTAGCGCTTAGCCGCCGACTTACCCTTGCCGCTGCTGGTCTTGCGCTGACTGATAACTTAATATAGAAATTAGGATAACTTAATAGAGAACTTAATGAACTCTGGGTCTGTGTTCTGTGAAGAATACACCCACCCTCTGATTCTCATGGAATGGTAGACAATCAACTTAAAATTGAAAACTTTTTGTATGTAGGTCTAAAACCACTAAGCCTACATCTGACAGCCATAGTTCTATCACTGGTCGGTTTGAATTCCTTTCTGGACGTGAATGCCTCTCATTGTGAGTGAGTTAAACTAGCCCAGTGACCCAAGTAGTTAATGTAATACATTTATTTAAACCAAGTTTACAGTATTTGATCTAATACAGATGGGGTTTTATTTCTTGAAAAGTTATTTTTCTCTTTGTTTACTAGCATGTGTTTAAACACAAATCACATGTTCATAAATAAAGTTAACATTCTTTTAAGCTCGTGTGTTCCCTGGCATTTCTGTATTACATTTCTAAGTGACATCTTACCATAAGCTACTATAGATGGCTCAAAAAATAAAATAAAATTTAAAAAAACCCCAAACCTGGAGTGGGAGGGAAGATGGGAAGACTTATTGTTAGTTAGAACTACTTAAAGGAAATGAAAGATGAAGCAAAACATTCCCCTCCTGTTTGCTCTGACTGTACCTGATTTGGGTTGTGGGTAGCCATATGGAGAGTGGAAGCCTTGCATCTCTCTCTACAAGTCCTCTCTCTTTCACTGTTAAAAGCACTGCAGCCTCAGCTGCTTCTAGTGCTGGACACACAATTAGCTTTATTCTTAAAGCTAACTCAGGTCTTGGTCTAAAGTGTGGGGGTTCCATTTTGTTTTGTTTTTTTTAATACACATACTTCTGTATGTATTTCAAAGCAGAATTTGGATATTAGTGTGGTAGGAATAAATCATTGGAAAGCTTGCCAATTATTGTTGAACAGTAAAGCAGCAAAATTAAAATTAGTTAAGATTTTTTTTAAAAGGATACACAAAAGCTTATACTTTGAATATTTCTTAATTGTCTTGCTCTTATGTTAGCTGTCATTCTACACTTCCAAATTTGTGCTGCTGTCCTACTGCTACTACAGCCAAAGCAAGAACATGGACCATTTTTAGTATTACTATTTCAGCAACTGCAAGGATCTCTAGTTGGTATTTGTCCTTGGAGGCTGCAGAAATGCAGAGACCCATGCCCATTGTTTTAGTGCCATCAAGCACAACTGTGATCCTTCCTGGGTGAATTTTTAGTTTAGCCAAGCTATCAGGTTTTAAGAAACCACTGTAATTTAAATGCAGCACTCCAGCAGTGAGATTAGCCTTTTCCTCCTTTTTCTGTCCCCTTTCCCACTTGCTTTGTGTTAGTTTCTGTTGAGTCTTCTGTTTAAGTGGGAGTTAATACATTGACTGTTGAGTCTGTTGCTTGGGGTTTTTTTTTCCAAATCTTCTGCAGTATTATCTTAGGATTGTATACAAGTTTCATGGAGATGTTTCTACTTGACTGATTGGAGGGACTGGCAGGAAATACTTCAGTAGAAATTGAAAGGAAAAAAGAAAGACACAAGAATATAGGATCATTGGAAGGTGGACATTGGGCAAAGGTAATAAACAGTACATTAATTATCTATTTGCTGATTTTGGTAACTGCTTAGTAGAAAGGAGTGCTATCACCTCCTTTAAGAAAGTAGACTGCTGCCTACAGAACATATAATAACTGCTTCCTAAAAAAAATATGAGAACTAATTAATAGTTTATTAACTGTTATGTTTCAGTTACTGGTCAATACTAGACTGTTTAATGCTAGACTTTCCTAATTTCTTGTTTCCTTCTGAAAACCCACAAAATGGTAGTGGTGTGCCTGCCATGAGAGAACATGTGTGTGTGCATGTTGTGTGGCTCTGTGTGTCAATGTGCAATCACCAGCAAACATCAACCCAGACCAGCCAACCACCAGGATGGGAGGCTTGGGAGCCAGGTATCAAAAGCAGCCATAATTTTGGGATGGATACCAGAAAGACCACAGATATTTTATTAGAGATACAAGCAGGTGTTCTTATATTTATTTTTTAAGTACTAGATGTGAAATCCATTAAAAGTACTAAAAGCAAGATAGGAACCCTAAGAAATGACAGGAAAGCAATGTTACATTATGGCCATTGTACTCACGCTCTCTGCACAGCATCAGTGCTTCTGAAATTTAGGAGCAATAAGTGCCTGTGGGGAAAAACAAGCAAAAAAACCCACCCAAACAAAACAAAACCCAAAGCAACTAAACAAGAACTTTCTCTACTTTTAGAGAAATAATAACAAAAGGCCTTCAACCCCTTCTCTGTCAGAACATCAACAGACTAGGGATTTGTATAATTTCTTATTATACAAATTCCCTTTTTTGCTTCTCTTCAAGTTCAGTGATTTACAATTCTATCACAAAGGACAGTGATAAAACTGGCTGATGCTTTATTTGGAGAATATCCCTAACAGAAAAGTTTTAAAAACATGTTTGTAAGTATTTTAAAGCACTTATGTGGGTGATGGTTTGCTGGTATCCAGACGTAGGTGAAATAAGAGCCCCCCAAATAAATGATGATTTTTCTTGCAAAATGAGTAAGACTGAATAAACAACTTTCTAAAATGGCTATATTTGTCAGAAAGAACATTTTGATTATTAATAAAACCCTATTTTATTCATTCATGTAAAGAAAAACCCCCTCAAAACTACCATTTTAATTTTGGAAAAAAAATGCTGAAGAGTTAATTCTCTGTATTATTCATCTAGATCAGTAACTTTTATACTACAGTTCTGGTAACATTTGCCCTGAGAAAATCTTGAGAAAGAAAACACATGAACCAGTAAAATCTTTTTATTATTAAATACCTCTTAAAACACTCATCGTAATAAAATACACTGGATGTTGCAGTATGGTATTTGCATACACACAATGCTTACAGCAAACTCTAGACAGTATCAGGAATTACAAAAAATAAGGCAAGCCCCAGAAAGTGTGCATCCTCACTACCTACTCTCAGGCCATTACAGAGACAACTGTGTTTACATTTTTAGGCTATTCCCCACAGTGTTGCCTGGACACCTGTTAGGCCAGTCCCCCGTCTCTCCCACTCCCCACCCTTGATGTTCCCTTGACTTGACCTCACAGTGAAATTGTGATGATGTAAATGGAGACAGTGTCACAGATCCATGGGGCAGCAGTTTTCCCCCCAAGAAGATTCTGAACTACCATAATGTTTCCAATAATTTAACGTCGCAAGAATCCAAAGCCATGCTAATGACCTGTAGCAATGCTTACCATGTCTTCTATCTTGGTCAAGAACGCTGACGCATCACCCTCCAGCTAAAAAGTCACAGCTACTGTAACATGTTCTTTCTCTCCATTCATTTTAAGAAACTCAGGCAGAAGAAAAGATAACATGAATTGTCAAATACAGGAAGAACAACTCCTTCATGATAAGCTAAGTTTTTCTATTCACGTCTGATTCTTTTTATCGCTTAAATGCAAGTTTAAAGTATGAAGGTATTCCATCATTCACTAGTTCAAAACAATAAACCTTCATCTTTCAAGTACTTCTTTATAGCTGAAAAAGAGACTGAAGAAAGCAATGTTATTTCACAAAAGCAGATTTATTATTATTTCATCTTACTGAAAGAACTGTATCATGAGAAAAAAATGAAAAAACATTCAGGCAAACTTTTCAACAAAATAGATTTAAAATGACTGCTTTCATTTGTACATGGTACAGATAGACAGGTGTGACTACAAAATAGTTTAATCCCTCTAGACTGAGGTTAGTGAGAGAAACATGAATAGTCAAATTCTTTTTTGTGTGTGCATATGCATATATGCATTAAAAAAAATATTCAAAGAGTTAAAACCCACATCGTTATAAATACCAAAAGCTGATCATTAACTACTCATACTCATACACTTTATTCTTGTACTTAGTACCATTACCAATGGAGCCCTAACTGGGTCATAGTAACTGCTACGTAACTGTCAACATATTAGAACTCTTACTTAGAAAAATGGACCATGTTCTGAATTCAGAACATCCTAGTTTTGCCTTTGTGGACACATCTTCCCTTCTTCAGTGACATTTCATGGTGGGGGAGGAAAGAGAAGTTCTAAGAATTATGTTTTGGAATAAATATTCACAGCAAACTGCTAAATGGGAACATTGCTGCTGCCAACTGCTCAACTGGTAGCCCTGTACCACTTGCTAGTTCATGTCATTTCATTCTTCTTTATTCATTTAGACACTAAATCCATAATAACCTTTCACGTTTCCTTTACTGGACTGAATGTTCAGGAAGTAAGTAACCCTAGAGAACAGTGCAAAAGGAGGGACATACAACTGCATTTAACAGCTTTATTTTGGTATCTAAGAGAAGACTGAAAAGATTATTTTTTTTTAATATATAAATTATGCAACATAGGCCCTGATGTACTTACGAGAGCAGGGCAATGAAACTTGGAAGAGAAGTGTCCCATACATACTGTTTTGTTGGGCAGCCCTTCTAAGAAGTTAGGATTTCATCCATGGCAGCCCATGCACTGAAGAGAGAGCATGAGGAGTTTTTTTTCCCCAAATACCATTTTTACAATAGAAGGCTAAGCTCAAAAACTAGAAGGTAATAAAGTTAAAAAACAAAACCAGAAACTAAACCAAAAAACCCAGCACCTAAAGAACAACTACGCCCCTGCAACCTAGCAGCCATTAATTATTTGTTGAACTTAGATGATGGAAATCCCATTACCATATCCTTAAGGTTTCCCTAGTCTAAACTACAAGATACAGTACTACATTCTGAAAACCAGTATAGTCAATACTTTCAAATCAAAGGAAAACAGTCAGAACAGCAACGATGAGCATGGCTGTACCATTCAAGCAGAAATAAAGAAAAATAAACTTAAAACATAGTGTTGAAACGTCTACTAGTTAGCCTTGCTTACATGAATTAAAAAAAAAGAAAAGGTTTCAGATTTTATACATCTTTTTTCAGCCAGGTACATTTAATTGCAACCAGTAGGCACTCCACCAAAACGCAGTATTTGCAATCCCCATCTCTTTAACTGAGAGAGATTACTTTGGCCTCAGTATTGCTATATTACAATTTTCCTGCTTCAAAACATGCAGTTCATACATTTTACAGTTTTACTGCCATAGTCGATGCATTCTGGCCCAATACACTCACAGCAGGCGTTGTGAAACCATCGGTATTTGGAAGCTCCCATGGACTCGCAAGAGATCTTGCACTGATGTATTGACATGCAGTCATCAAAATACACCACAGTACACATGTGTTCTAAACCAAGAGGGGGGAAAAAATTTGGTTGAAAAGGTCTTAAAATATTTTTAAAGGTTAGTTAAAAATCAATTAAATGTGCAGTTTTTGAAGTAGGATTGCAAATCATCATGACTATGAGGCATAAGGAAAAAAAAAGGTGATAGTGAAAGTAGAGAGAAGAGGCAGAGAGCCAAGGTACAATCTATCAACTTCAAAGTTTTCAGTGTCTACAACTCAACCTGTTGTCTGCTCTCCTTCTGGATTAATTTATTTCTATATTCATGAGCAAGAATGTTTTTGGGTTTTTTCCCCCAGTTATGAAGGATACCTTCTAAAGTGTAAGGATGGGCTATGCCAAAATAACAAGCAGACATGTGGCCGCTGAAGGTAATATCAAGATACCACTTTCACAGTTGCCAGCAGTTACTACATGCTATCATGAAAAACTTCAGGTTTAGAGAAGTTATTTAAAAACCACCAAACCCCACTTATTTAATTGTAAATGTTTCCACCTTCGCCCCTGTTATGGGTTTCTGTGGTGCGGGTTTTTTTGGTAGCGGGGGAGGGGGCCGCAGGGGTGGCTCCTGTGAGAAGCTGCTTCAAGCTTCCCCGGCTCCAAGTCGGACCCGCCTCTGGCCCAGGCCGAGCCCGTCAGCGATGGTGATGACACCTCTGGGAGAATAGATTTAAGAAGGGGAACCTACAGTGAGTAGGGGGAGTGGGATGTGAGAGGAACCCCTCTGCAGACGCCAAGGTCAGTCAGGAGGGAGGAGGGGGAGGAGGGGTTGCCCCTGCAGCCCGTGGTGAGACGGCAGGCTGTCCCCTCCCAGCCCATGAAGGGGAGCAGGGGAGCGGAGGCCCCCCAAGATGGCTGTGACTCCATGGGAAAGCCCGCGCTGGAGCAGTCTGTGACTGAAGGACTGCAGCCCGTGGAAAGGACCCACGCCAGGGAAGTTTGGGAAGAGCTGAAGCCCACAGAAAGGACCCACGTTGGAGAAGTTCATGGAGAACTGTCCCCTATGGGAGGGACCCTGTGGTGGAGCAGGGGAAGATTGAGGAGTCCTCCCCCCAAGGAGGAAGGAGCAGCAGAGACCAGGTGTGGGGAGCTGAACCAAAAACCAAAATTCCCAGGGGTATTTCACTAACATTGTTCAGTCCGTGTTTTGCCCGTTACCTCTCCCAATTATTATCCTTATATCTCAAATTGTATCTCTGTCTCCCGTCTGGCTTGCCAAAAATGACTGTAGTTACCTCAACCCCCTTCTTGCCCCATGTTTGGTGCCACAAAGGACTGTCATGGTTCAACCCCAGCCGGTAACAGAACATCATGCAGCCACTCGCTCACTCCCCCTGGCCACGGTGGGATGAGGAGAAAATATAAAGACAGGCTTCTGGGTCGAGATAAGGACAGGGAGGGATCACTCACCACTGATGGTCATGGTCAAAAGACAGGGTCAACTTGGGGAATAAACAAAATCAAGTTCATTGACTACCAATCAAAACAAAACAAGGATAATGAGAAGTAAACCCAAACCTTAGAACACCTTCCCCCCAGCCCTCAACCCCACTCCCGGTTCTCTCCACCTCCTTCCCCTGGCGGCGCAGGGGAACAGGGGATGGGGGTTGGGGTCAGCTCCCCACACCTGGTCTCTGCCGCTCCTTCCTCCTCAGGGGGAGGAGGACTCCGCACTCAGCCCCTGCTCCACCGCGGGGTCCCTCCCACGGGAGATGGTCCTCCACGAACCTCTCCAACGTGAGTCCTTTCCACGGGCTGCAGTTCCTCACAAACTTCCCTAGCGTGGGTCCTTTCCGCGGGCTGCAGTCCTTCAGTCACAGACTGCTCCAGCGCAGGCTTTCCCATGGAGTCACGGCCATCTTGGGGGGCCTCTGCTCCCCTGCTCCCCTCCATGGGCTGGGGGGGACAGCCAGCTGTCTCACCACGGGCTGCAGGGGCATCCCCTCCTCCTGACTGACCTTGGTGTCTGCAGAGGAGTTCCTCTCACATCCCACTCCCCCCACTCACTGCAGGTTCCCCTTCTTAAATCTGTTCTCCCAGAGGAACTGCCACTGTCACTGACAGGCTCGGCCTTGGCCAGGGTCGGGTCCGACTTGGAGCCGGGGAAGCTTCGAGCAGCTTCTCACAGGGGTCACCCCTGCGGCCCCCTCCCCCGCTACCAAAAAACCCCCCGTGCCACACAAACCCATAACACGCCCCCAACCCCACAATATTCTTCAGCCACATTAAATGACAGAGTAGAGAATCACATTTTCCTCAACTTGAAACTGCACACTTTTTTTTCTTCTTTTTTTAGCAATATGACCAGCTTTACTACTGATTAAGAAACACCTTCTGCCTAAGTGTTGACTTTATTATTCTAACATCCATGCAATTATGTGGAATGCCATGAAGTTTGGCATTGCAGCCTCAAACTGGAGCTGAGGCATTCATCACAACTATAAAACAAAAACATCCCTCCCTAATCTACTTCCAATTCTCTAAGCTGACAGATTCTACCAACTTTTTTCTGTGTTGACTGGGTGATTACACTGTAACTTCATTCATCCTCCAAAGGACCTCGATTGCATCACATTTACCCTCAGTGTAGCTTAGCACACTTTGGGGTAAAGCACAACTAAAAGCTGTCTGCAAACATGAATGTCTCACTCACACACATCAGGCAGATTTGTGAGCGGGACATGTCAAAGGGCTTTCTAGCCTATTACTACTTACGGTGCATGGGTACCAGAGAAACATACTGACCTACATTCCAACATGGATTACAAAAATATAATCCAAACATAAATGGTAAATCAAGACAGTGGGGGGCTTTTTAATTGGAGATAGGGAGAAGGGCAAGTAACCAAAGGACTCTCAGAGCAGTGTAGTTGTTAACCATAGCATTTATTCAGTCTCTTAACTGCGAGCAAGTCTTAAGAGGCTGAAGTGCACCAGAACCTCCTGTTCAAAATATTGGTGCCCCATAGTTTAGCAGCCTCAGTAGTATGCAGATCTCATGGCAAGCTCTTAAGGTGAGGTCCAAAGGTGAGCTGAGGCCAGCAAGGGTCTCTATCACCTTACAGGTCATCAGATCTATGCAGCCAGTTTCCCCAGTAGATGACTTCTGTGGTGCCCGTGCTTTTGGGCATGTGACAAGGGACAACAGAACATACAGGAGAGCACAATGTACCCAACAGCTTTTCTGTGGACCCCTCCTCCTTGACATCTGGAAACCCTGCCTATCCTTTTAAGAATTATCATTTGTTAAAACATGTTTGAGGGAACCCTGACCACTGTCAAACTATTTTACTACTACCTAAACAGCTGCAAGAGGGTGACAAGACATGCTGCCAGCCCACTGAAAGCAAGTGAGTATTCACTGCCTTGTTTAGGCTCTGAACTGATGTACACATCTTGCAGACATCACATACAGTGCAACAGGCAATAAGGATCTTGGGGAGGAAGTGCAGACCCATAGCTGAAGCAGTTTTCTGCTCCCAGAAAAGCTGTGCTGCGTTTAATAAAGCTGCAGTTGTCCAAGAAATTGGAGTACCTGAAGTACTGCTGGGAATGTCAACAGAGTACACTGAGGCTGTGTAAGTCCTGTCCCATTCTTGGCACCTCTATTTCTATGACCCCTTATAATAAAGCCTGAGGCACAGCAACCAGAGGAAGAGAGTTCTCAGAGAACAAACCCTCTGCCTAAAACCAACCAACATATCTACAGCTTCAGTAAGGGCACTTTATTCACAGAAGGGAGGAGGAAAGAGCAAAACAGAAGCGTATGCTATGGTGCCACATGCAAAGAGTGACTGGCCAGGTATACACCTGAAGTGCTCAGCCAAAGCTGAAAAGTGGTAGGGAGATGCAGCCACCACATCCTCAAAGGCAAGAATCCACCCATCTGCTTATGGAGAACGTAAAAGGACTTGGCAACATTTCATCACCAGCCACAAAACTGACAGGGTCCCAAGAAGGAGCACACACCATCCATTCCCAGAAGGCCCAGACATTCCCAGGTATCTGTCTGTCTCCCTCACTCCTCACAGGAAGTTTTCAGTGGAAGGGTAGAGTGTGAGAAAGTAGAGGTTAGTCTCCAGGCAGCATTCCTCATGAAATCTTAAGCACCAGTGTCTAGTCAGTCATCCAGTTCAGTGCTGGCAGGCAAGCACAGGAACTTTACAGAAGCCTCTCTAAGATATTCATACTTTTTGTACCCTCTTGCTTAATCCTAGTTCACTCCTTTGACACCTTTTTAGTAGTCTTCTTCTCAAGTTTGACCTTAAATGCAATAGGTAGGGTCAGTCTTCGAAGGTGTCAGCTGGAGGCACAGAGCCTCTGCCTCAAAACAGGCAATCCTGGCTAATCCAGAAAGATTTATTTCTTGCTGCAAAATTGGCTTTTGAGATGTCATCTCCACCTGACTGACCTAGTCTCTGGATCAGCTTGAGAAATCAAAATGACTCATGGCTCTCTCTAGATAGTAGTGGAACAACTCTGTAAAGAAACTAGAGTCCTCTCCAAAGGGTTGCCAGAAGTGCTCACTGCTATCATGTTGATCACTTGTAACACGCAAAGGAAAGCCTACAGTAGGTCAGGAAAGCTTGTCAGAGAAGTTGTGCATGCTCTTGAGGTGGGCTAGCTGCTCCCAGCAGTTGCATGCTGTCTTCACGCCAGAGGATGACCAGTCCCCTCTGTGTTAGGAGACATATGTGTTCACCTTCATGTTAACCTCATCTGTGACAGCCTCATCTGTGTTAGTACAAGTTCAGAAGTCCTGGAGAAGCCCAGTTCATCAGCTAATGCCTGCTGAAACTTGAAATAAACCTCTTGTGGAAGAAGAGCCTGTGATTTCTAGAACATAAAGATCAACAACACTGAACTGACAGACTAAAGACATCTCTTGGGGGGGGAAGGAGGCCAGAGAATGAGCAGCACCAGGCCCATAACCCTGGCAAAACCAGATGACAGCAGTCAGGTCCTGTGAGACTGGAGCGACTGGTCTCCTCAACCACTCTCCCAGGACTAAAATGGGAACCAAAGCCAGACCTCAACCTTATTAAGGTGGCCAAGGACATTAATCTTGACTGACTGGAGAGTGGAGAAGAAAGTTTATTTCCACCTGCACACAAGCCAAAAGGATTAGGTCCTAGGACAAGTCCAGAAATGCTGGTCTGGGGAGAGGACAGACTGTACATGGCAGGCCAGCGCCAGCAGTACATCTGGCTTGTTCCCAGTAGCTCTTGTAAGCAGCTGGAGGACATGCTCCATGTATGTGCTACCGAACTGTTTCTGAAGTCTCGCTGACTCTGAGACTTGCCAGATCTGAATGAGTCAGATTGGCCAGGGTGTACTTTGTTCATCACAGGACACTTCTGGTTGCCGCCTCAGCAGTGTCTGCATGCCCATGTAGAGGCTGAATTACTGAAAGCAGCAGAGTTCCTCACCTCAAGCATTAAATCCCTCTTTATAGACTGCAAAACCAAGAGTTACACAGGGGAAAAAAATACATACCTACAGACTCAGTTGGGATCCGGGAGAGCACTTAAATTGTTTCACATACCTGATTATATAGTCATCACTTGGCTCCCTCAGTATAGATAAAAAGGATGTTACTTAGTGCAGTAACGGCTCTTTCATTTGCATTTTGCCAATTTTCACACAGTAAGGACTACAGACTACAGGTGCGGGGAGGGAGAAGGATGCAGCAGTGTTCTTTTTTTTGCAGAACATGAGTTTCTCACCTTTCCCCACCTCCAATTCATACTCAACAAAGGTTGTGTAGGAGAAACAACAATCAAGTCTAAATTCAAAATGACCAGAAGAAACGGACTCATGTTTCTATCAGGCTTTGCTATGATACTGTCTGTGCTGCAAGTCAGATCTGTATTGGTGCACTATGAAGGAATTTAGCGACTTGGAGATGATAAAACAATTCAGTTCTTGTAAGTTAAGGAAAAATGCCTATCTACAAGATGAAAAAACTTTGCCAGTTAATGACAATTCCCTGTATGCCACCTTTGAAGTTAACAGTGCTATTTAAGTTCAGTTGTCTGTTGGTCTGTTTATTGGTAGCTCTAAAAATACTTTAAAAAGGTAACTGTCCATCCAGCAGCCATACCATTTTATGCCAATCAGAACTTATAAAAAGAAACATTAAAAAAAAAAAAAAATCTTCCTAGAGAACCTACAGAGGTAGATGCCACTTTACTAGATTTCTAGCTCTCTCCTCTACCTGGCTGACACTGGAGGGGAGTGGAAATGCAGAGTGGATGCCATCCCCTGTGTCACCTAGCAGTTTAAGTCAGAAACCCTTAACTACAACACAGATTTTGTTCCATTGGTTGCCAAAAGATTATCTAGTTCCCCTCTCTCTCTCTCACACCAAGGTCCTGTCATCATCTGAAACAACTAAGCTTAAACATCTGAACTAGCAGTTCAGAGATCTGAGGGTATCAGCTAAAAGTAAAGCAAAAAGAATAAAATATAAATGTAGCTCTAGATTAATAATCATCGCAATTCCCTCTGAAGTAGTGGCTCAAATGCCAGAAACTGATGACACAAAGAACTACAGCAGCTCCAGCAGCGCACACATACTTTGGCAGCTAAAACGTTAAAAAGTCAATTCACAGGAGGAAAGGGAAGACACTCATTAAGATAATAAGTGGGAAGTTCAAGGTCTGGTGCCTGGGCTTGCAGTAGGCTGGGGCAAGAAAGGAATGCTTTATATCCCACCGAACCACACCTCCTCCCAGATCTACAGCCACCCTCCCCAGACTGATGGCTTCACGCCACTCAAGCACAAATCTTGTGGATTCCCATGGCTGGTGCTGCTTTACCTGGCACTCACCCAGAACTGCACTGAGCAAGCCTGGCACCCTGGACCAGCTTAATGGCGATCCCTGCATGAACATGCATTGCAATTAAAATCAGAACTGTGTTACATGACATGACAAGGGGTATTCGTAGGCAGAGCCCTTCCAAATTTTGGGAGGTATTCCAGAAGACAGCACAGAGACTACTGTGCCCTTACCAAAATCCACCTCTCATTAGCCCCTCTCCTTTTACAGGCAACACAATAGGCTGCTCCCAGCATACCGTGTTGGAGTGAAGCATGCAAGAAGCCACAGAAAAACCACAAATTGGACGAGGCACAGCACTGTAAAGAAAACATAAAGCATCTGTGTTCCTGCTCACAGGAATATTCTTTCAAATCCCTGAATGTCACGCCCTTGAAGACAACTGCTTAGCAAGTCACCTTAAGGACGTCTCCATTTGCAAGATCTGCCCTTAAGCCTAGTAGCACATCTGGGGAGAAGGAAAGGGTAAAGAGATGGTCTTCAGTTTCTTCCACTGCAGGCTATGCTTGTATTTACTGCAACTGAGCACGCACACATACACACACACAGACCCACCCTCTCCTTCAGTGGTTCTTCCAACACACGCCAGCTTGTTAAACCACACCAACTTGATTGTGTGACTGAACTTTGAATGGGCAGAAGCCATCAGACTCCAGCTACTTCCTGGGCTCCCTCTCTGTGCCCATGCTCACAAGGCTCTTTAGCCCTTGATCTACTACCCCTCCACCTTTTGGTTACTGCTTTCCCAATGAACTCATAAAAAACACCATTAAAAACAATGCCACCCCATGGCTCACACAACATCCAACACAAGAGGTACAATTCCCCAGTTGTCCTTGCTTCCCCCATAATAAACATCAACTGACCAAGGCCAGCAGCCAACTTTTCTTTCCACCTTTTTCTCTTCTCAATTCTTGAATCATCCATGTTTTTATAAACAAACTTTAATATCACTTCTGAAAAAGCAGAAGACTACAAAGTTATCTACATTGTGACCAAGAAAAGAGAGACTCCTCAACAGGCTTACATATTCAGATACTTAAAGGATAGGATGTTGAAAGTCATTTTCTACGTTTTCCAATTCTTCACTGATCACTAAGATGGAAGAGGCATAGCCAATGATTATGAGAAAAGCTCTGACATCTATTTCTGTTCTGTCTACTGAAGCCTGAAAACCAGTGGCATTTGGTAACTACTTCCGAATACAACTGTTGTTTTTGTACTGTCATCATTCCAGTGAAAGCTCTCTCAACCTAATCTCTAATACATTCTTAGTAAATGAAATCAAGGAGACTTTTGACTGAGAAAAAATTGCAGTGTTATGCACTTGTCTGTGTTGTTAAACTCAAAACTCCTCCACAACCTTAAGATGCAATTCAAATTCCAAGTTTAATCCAAAACTATCATTAGCCCATCCTGTTGGTATGGTAGTAAAGGACTGTAGTAAAGGGCTGCAGTACCTAAGTACAATGGGATATATTCAACATTGTTCTAAGCATAATTTTTTTTTTCCAAGTATAATTTACATCTTTAAATATTGTAGCGTTTGCACACAGGGCTTTTTGTGGCTTGCCATGTAACATGGCTTTCTGCATAATTCTCATAATGGCAAGCAAGCGTTTTAATAATGTCAAAGACATATGAATGAGATGCTTTCTGACCATCTGGTTTCCCAGTTCTGGAATTAATTTATTTTTGTCACGTGAAAAGGAAATTAGAAAAGTTGCCATTACGGTCCCATTTAATCAGCAGCTGTCCTACTCAGAAACGTAACTAGGTCAAAGGCTCACAACAGTATGGAAAAGCAGCATGTCCATCAGTTAGGGTATCTTTCAATGATAAGATAAAAGAGCTATCACAACAGCAACATATGGGGTTACGAATATTTCAAGTGTGTGTTGGGAAGGAAGTAAAGCATTAATTACACTAATAAAACAAATCAGATGCTCTTTTCTCCCTGTTAAGCAGCAATTTCACTATGAACTTTTTATGAGATTCTTTTAAGTCTGATGTAATGATTTACAGGGAAAAGTATTTCAGAGTTAGTATGGAAACCAAGAAGCAGAGAGTATTTTTCTTATGCCACTACTGTCACTACCTCAAACTTCTCAACTCCCTGCCCACGCCCAGCAAACAATATTCTGAAGTCTGTCCTCTAAACTGAAGGTGAGAATATAAAAACTTGATATAAATTAAGAGGAACAAGTCCATAAGTTGAACCCCTGCCCCCAAATTGCTTATTTTTAAGATTGTCTGTCACATATCCCTCCTCAACATAAAGAACAGTCTTGCTAATATTACTCAGGTTTACTATTAATCGTGGATTTCCTACAAACCATCCTTTTAAAGAGTTCAAGTTATGCCAGCTCAGATGGAAGAAACAAACATCTCCTCCACATAAAAACGGTTTACAGCATGTGGCTTTCTCAAACCTCTGAAGCCATGCGTTTCAGTTGCCTACCTCTGCACTGATACATGATTTGGATTCAGTTTTTTGGTCTGTCCTGTCTCCTAAGCTACAAGTAACCGCTTCAAAGTCAAAGAATATACTGTGCCAGTGTGCATGAAATAATGTGAACAAACTGCCTCATGCCACATAAGGCATTACAGAGATAACAGACTTATGTGGTTCAGCATCTGCTAAGATCATCAGACACTTTAACACCATCTTCCATGTTCCTCAATACTTTTGCCTCACTCTTTTTGTGTAATGCTCAAAATTAGACTGAACTTTTCACACTTTTTTATGGGAAAAGAAGCAGCGAGCACAGACAACACTGAAGGTGCACCAAGTAGGCTCCTGGAAGAGACAAGAGGAAACACTAGGAATTTAGACACTATACTCATTACCTTTGTCACTAGAGTAAGGTGTGTGGACATTGTTGCTTGGAACAGAGACGTTCTGATGCTGTGGCTGGTTCACGGTTTCTAAAAAGGAAACAAGGTTCTCATGGTGCGACAGTTCTTCTGCCACAGGGAAAGAAACGATATTCCAGTTCAGCTGAGTATCCCCTTCTGTCAGTGCCCGGAAAAGGGAAGGAATTGGTTCATGCAACTCCTCGACAGTACTCTTGGATGTTGGAGGTGTGTCACTGTAATTGCGAGGATTGCACATACCTGCAGAGGAATGAAACAGTAAGTTACACAAAACTCCCTAAACTCTTCCCCTTGAAACAGGTGGGAATATTTAGAAAATTAAAATTGCCTTTTTTTTTTTTTTGCTAAGCAGAACAGAGCCCTTTTATATATATATATCCCACTCTTTGCTCAGTAGCAGAAGTGCTACCAAATACAGCAGGATAAGCTTTCCTTAACAGCAGCTTTCAGATCTCTGCAGACTTCCACAAAACACACCTGCAACTTTTGAGAACCAAGTGAAAAGAAAAGCCTCATCTACATGGCACTTTCCTTCCCTTTTTATGCTACCATTACAGTTTAGAATATGAAGAGTTCAACAAAAGGTTTGTTTTCCCTGGGAAAAGAGACAAAGCACAGCATAACCGATACTAGCATAAATCTGGAATGAAAGCTTATGACTGAAGGAAGACGGTATCTTGACAAGTCCTGAGGTACATGAAACTTTTGATCACAATTCAAGTATTCGATCTCACCCGCTGCAGCAGTGCACTAGATCTTTTGTCATTTGCCAGGGGTGCAAAGATCAATATCAGGAGGGAGAAAGAGTCTGAATTACTTTACCTGCTTACAGGCAGCTCAGATGAACCTCATTTTGCTACTTAGTTGGAGGGGTCACTACAGGCAAAATGCTTATTTCCAGGTTACCTCTTCTTTATTTTTCAATGTCTTTTGTGGTATCTTTTTTGAAGCCTTGTAATCCTCTTGGCCACTTCCTACAAAATGCTTTTGTGATGTGCAATGCAGGTGCCAGTTTGTCATTAACCACTTGTCATTAAACACTAACATTTATTACCAGCAATGAAACTGAAGGGTACCTTGATTTAATCCAAACATTGAAACAACCAAGATTAAAAAGAAAAGTTGTACCTGCATAGGTATATAAACTCAGAAGCCATAAAACACTATTAGAAATCACCTGGCAAGAGACAGACAAATCCGTTTTCCTCATGTATATCTGGATATCATTTTGGGTAGTTTCACAGATACAGTTTTAGACAGCTACAGCTGCAAAGCACACCAGTCCTTAAAGTCTCTTGTATCAAAGCAGTACCAAACATAAATGTTCAAGTCTACCTGCCCCACACAACCAGAGAAGCATCTCCTGCCCTGCAGATACATTAGGATGCCAGCTTCAGAAATTGTGTTTAACTAGAACCCTATACAAAATGACAATCTTTTCAATCTAGGTAGATGGATTTCCACAATGAACAAACCAGAGCAAAGTTCGCCCATGATGATCAGCATGCGATCTGGCAGATCTTAAGCAAGTGGTTAGCATTACCAGCATTTAATAATAAAAATAATACAAGATAGTCTGCTCCTATAAAAAGGTGAGCCAAATGTTGAATAGAAAAAAAAAATAAGCCACTCCTCCAAACATCAGGTCATGCTAAAAAGTAATGCCACTTATGCAAACTTTCTACCGTAAACAATTATTTTCCTACTCCTCTCAGCTAGGTTTGTTCTTCACAGATGTTCCTGGACTCACTTCTTCAATCAAAAATTTCTGTCCTTGCATTATCACCTTTTAGTAAGCACTTTGAATATTCACTCTACAATTGTAATAAAAGATGCTGTCGTGGTTTAAACCCAGCCAGCAACTAAGCACCACACAGTTGCTCACTCACTTTCCCCCCACCCAGTGGGGTGCGGGAGAGAATTGGGAAAAAAAAAGTAAAACTCGTGGGTTGAGATAAGAACAGTGTAAGAGAACAGAAAGCAAGAAAATAATAATAATAAAATTACAACAACAACAACAATAATAATAATAAAAGGATTGGAATATACAAAACACGTGATGCACAATGCAATTGCTCTCCGCTCGCTGACCAATGCCCAGTTAGTTCCCGAGCAGCGAACCACCTCCCCACCCCCCCGGCCAACTCCCCCCAGTTTATATACTAGGTATGATGTCACATGGTATGGAATACCCCATTGGCCAGTTTGGCTCAGCTGTCCCAGCTGTGTCCCCTCCCAACTTCTTGTGCCCCTCCAGCTTTCTTCCTGGTGAGGCATAAGAAACTGAAAAATCCTTGACTTAGTCTAAACGTTACTTAGCAACAACTGAAAACATCAGTGTGTTATCAACATTCTTCTCATACTAAATCCAAAACATAACAGTATACCAGCTACTAGAAAGAAAATTAACTCTACCCCAGCCAAAACCAGGACAGATGCCCACCTAAAATTTAATTAGGAAGATACCAAACCAGCTAAGAGTTTTGTACAGAGACATCAAGAGACGTATACTTTAGTTGATGTCATTGTATTAATGCTGTGAAATTGAAACCAGCAAGCCTTTTGAGAGGCCCCCTGTCAGGTTGGATTCACAAAATAAATTTCACTGATAAGAAGGACACACAGGAAAAAAATAACATTAAGATTGTTCATCAAATCATTGCAGAATGTTTACAGTTTGTGTACCTATCAATCTAATAAGAAAATAATATCTTAAGATGGTACCAAGAAACCATTGCTCATAGTTTAATGGGTAACTGATCATTCCACAAAGATCCTTCCCTATTTTAAAAAGTATTTTGATTATAATATTTATAAATAATAAATATTATAAAATTGTAGCTTTGGTTAAAACAAAAATAAAAAAGCTTAACTTATGAGCAACTAGTAAGGCACAAACATGTCTACACTACCGCTTTGGAGTGGATGAGAAGATGCAGAAATGGGCTATTGAAATGATGGAAGCAGACAAGCCTTTACATGAGGGACTAGAAGAGCTTAACGCACAGAGCTTAGAAAAATTGGGGAAATAGGAACCTGTTGCTGTTCTCCCTCCTCCAGTGTCTTTTTCCCTGTCAGAGAAGGGAGAGAACACCCACACAAAACACAGGGCATCAACTGAGCATCAGTAAAGTTAGTGCTGGAGGGCAGGAGGCAATTCCTGACCTCAGAACAGACATGACCTGAAAGACATGACCACCTACCTTCCTTTACATTAGACATGATCATCTTATAAAGAGACAAGTATCACCTCAAGTATCCACAAAGAACTGTCTCCAATAAGCTGGGTATGGCATGCACTCCTGTTTCCTCATTTGAATAAGGCTATGGCAAGGATGACCCTACACTGAAGAGAACAGGACCATACCATAGAACCAAGAAGATCTGAGGCACCCGCAGAACCATCAAGAGATGTTTTAGTTTACTCAGTACCAGAAAACTGAACCTGAAACCTCATTAACTTCAGCATAACAGTGAGTAATCTGCAGATTTAGAAAAAACCTGTGTGTGGACTTTGCTTTTTTCCTCACAATCCCAAAAGGTAGGTTCTTCCTCTCCCTAGAGGAGATAGGCACACTACGCCTTGCTTTCTACAGCAGATAATGGTTCTGAACTAGGGAAGTAACCTACTATATTATTCCTCACCCCTATGACTGAATATGACAACAGTGCAGTTTAGTATTACATTACAAAAAACAAGACGACACTGCAAGGGCAAAAGGGATGGGGAAAAAAGGAGAGAGGTTTTGGGTTTGGGTGGGTTTTTTCACTTTTCAAGGATCCCAAGATCAAATAGAAAAAACAAACTCTAGGGCCTCTTTCTAAATGTATACCCTCCACAAGTGCAGGGGCTGAGAATACTTTATGCCATTGGGAAGAATCACACATACGCAAGACCACACCACTCCACTGCTCACTGAAAGACAGTAAAGCAAAGATAAGCTAGCCAGAACCAAGCAAAAAGCAGGATAACAGAAAGCATATTCACATCGTGATGGAACAGAAGAAGCAATGGACTGCACTGAAAAGGAGCATTTTGACACTAATCATCTTCATGATTTCAGAGAAGACCCAGCCAGCCAGAGAAGCTGAGAGCCGGTACAACACTCAAGATGCATTCCTTTCATGGAAGCTAGAAGGATTTTAAATGGCAGCAGAGGGAGACTTCCAGCAACCACAGAGGATGAAACTTTCAATACATTTAAAACAAGAGACAGAACTAGAACACATCCTCCTTAAGCAGAGGCAGCACTCACTTGCAAATATCTGGGCACTCTGAATATTATCTTTTAGTAATAATGCTGTTGTTAAGACTATCATCTAATCCTACAGTAAGAGCTTGTGTGCCTCTTTCTTCCCCTCCACAAAGAGCTCTTTTTGCAAATAAAAGAGTGATAAAAACATTGGGCCATGCATGTTTACTACTAATCCCAAGGATTCACAAGGGAACTCAATCCTAAAATTGTCCCTGTGCAGTACCTGTTAATATACTTTACAGTTAGAAACCTCCATACAGCATCCAACCCCATCAAGCAGGTGCTGCGTAGTTTCCTCAAGATGACAATTCAAAAAGGAGTTTATGTTTTAGAGACAAAATTAATACTCAGTTATGATGACATTAACCAAGCAAAATCTGGATTACCGCCACTTCCCACTCCATAGAGCAGATACAGCCTTCAAATGTTTGGTTCTCCACAGTTAATTTATTCAGTACCCGAAGAATGAGCTGTAAGATGTTTAAAGCACAGATTCTGGCCTGATATTTTACTTCTATTCTAAGAATGTGAGCTCAGCATGTGGCAGGAGGAAGCAATTTAAAAAAAGAAGAAAACCCCAAAGAAATGCCAACTTACCAACACAGTCACAGCACTCATCCCAAAGTGTGCCCAGGCAGAGCATGCACTCCTTACAGCAGGAACAGTTCCCTTCCCCAGGGCGGCACTGACACAGCTCCTGAAAACAACAGAAACCCATTACACTGCAGCAATCCCAGATGTAAAACGCTAACACAGCAGAACAATTCTTCTTCAAGCTGCAACTCAAGTTACGGCATTAAAAAAGCTTAGTACACTAATATAGCAAGTAAACGGTAAAATAGTTCCAGCCAAAGAACCAATCTTAGTTTACAAAAGGATCTTTTGCAAGGTTGTTTTTTTTTAAAGGTGAAATTCTAAAGACAAATCTGAAGTCAAGAAGCATTTAAAAAGAGAAAAAATGTTATTCATGGGAAAGGTGTGTGCTTTTCTATGTATGCCTGAATCTACAAGTTCTTTGAATGTTTTTCCCATCACAACAAGAAATTCAAAGAAGGAAGTTTCTTTATATATAAATAGTGCACATATGTTGTAATTTAGCTAAAAAAAGGAAGTTACTATAAGCAGCATATGCATACTCAAGAAGATACACATCATCTATAATCACACCTATTCAGGGATTCTAAAAGGAACTTATTTGGTTAAGTCATCTGACCACAGAACTTTGTGAATCTCTGAATGCTTGTTACACATTGCGCTCCACCTGCAGTATTAGTGACCAGATTATTTCCCCCCCCCCAGGTCCAGCTGATTCATTTTTGCTATTACGAAAACAACCCTCCACCTTCTTCCCCCCCAAATCAGCACGTTGGGATACTTCCAAGATTTCTGGAGCCTCTAGAAAGTGAAATGGTATAGACATGCATTTTTCTTTAACTATTATTAAGCTAAAAAAAGATGGAAAAGGCATGGAAGCAAGAAGACAAACCTCTCTCTTCATATTACCTAAACCTGAAGGTGCTGGTTTAGCAGTCCAGCTGGAGACATACACTTGTGGACCTCGCAGCACAGAAATAGACTACATGGATGAAGGAAATCTAAAGACCAGGTGGTCTCTTTCCCTCTAGCTCAAATCCATACTATTAATTCCAGTTTGGCTGAAAGACTGTGGCTACATGACAATAATATATGGGCTTGAATCATGCTGTAGTGTAAAACGTGGACAGTCATGAAGCCACACTGGTTGTCCTGTTTAAGAATTTGGTTTTGATGATGTCTGTCTAACTATCACGTTATGCTCAACTGGTGAGAAAACAAAATCCTGTTACTGGAGACACTGACCACGGGATCCTACCCACCCCCAGCTTTACTGGAAAAGCCACTGGCAAATCTCTGCTATGCACCAGACCAGGAAGATGACACCCATCCCCAGGGACAGGGGAGAGACATACTGCGGCGTGGGCGGGAGACACACACAGACAGGAGAGAAGGGCAGGAAGATGGTTTGGCATGAAATTCTCCTAACCTGGAGTCACTACCTGAGGCTCCAACTCAGCTAACCACAGCTGGGTCAGGGACACCACACCTTACAGGCACACACAAACATCACCCAAAGAGTCTTTCTGTAGCACCTTAGGAAAAAGCCAAGGGGGCAAACCTCCACTTTTTAAGTAAATCTTTGCCTGATTTCGTTAAACATCAGGTAGAGAAGAAAGGAGGTGTTTTTACAGCAAACATCAGGAGTGCACTTGCTAGGCAAGGCAAGGCACAGAGACGCACCTGATCGTGTATGACTCCCATTCTATCTTTATTTTGCAACACTGGCAACTGCAAATGCCTGCAGCCTGTTGAGTTGCACAGGGATCACCTCTCTCTTGCACCAACTCATGTGGGCCCACAGAAGACTGAAGAGTGCATTTCAGAGGGTGAGGCCAAGGTGAGGTCTGACTGGGAACAGGCCTTAAGAATACAGCAAATGAAGCTTCAGGGCTCCTAGTTCTGGACTAAAACTGAACAAACCCCCAAACCTGCGGCGGATGTGCTACAATGTATTAATGCAGTATAAATTAATTAATCTATTATTTTTCCATTCACTCCATCCCAGATCACAAATCTTCTTGAAGCCAGCAAAGAAACCAAATTCAAACTATTGCATGTTCTACTGAGAAATGCTGTTGCCCCTGCTGAGTTATCGAGTGTGAACTGCTCCACATGCATTTCTGCAGTATGCAGTCTTAGTAAGTCTTGATTTTTTATTTAGAGTGGAAAATTACCAAGATCTTTTACTTTTTCATCCTCAAAGTTTAATAATGTCACCTATTACTATGCTGTTTCCAAGTGAAAGATGAAAAACAGGCTCATTAATGAAATATACAATTTTTTCCACAAGAGGAGACACCACAAACTTAGGAAGATGACTTATGTGAATGAATGACGCATTTCTAAAATATTTATCTTAGCATTTGATAAACAGATTGTGTCAGCCTTGAGAAGAAAAAGCCCGAATAAAACAACTTTAAAAACAACCATAAGTACTGTTACCTTGGCCAGAGAATAGTATTAATACATACTAGCATTAAAAATATCCTATATATTTTTTCTTCAACAGCAAAACTGGGCAAATAACTTCATACTTATTAAAGACATTGCAACAGCAACAAGCCAGTATATGGGAGGAGGCGAGTCTCCATAAACTATTAAATGTAATGTATGAATCAAAGCCAGAAAATTCAAGAAATTTAAGTTGTTTCAGTTTTATAGATTGCACTGTGTGAATCTAAGAGAAGAGTATTCTCACTGAATTAAATGTAAATTATACATTTGCAACATAATAAAAAAAAATGCTGCTTAGCGCTGATAGATGTGAGCACTAGCTTGGGATAGCATCACTATACCTACCAGTCTTCCAACAACTTCATTTTTATAGGAAGGGCTTATGAGCAGTGTAATTTTTTATTTTATTTCCTATTTTTATTTTTTACTTACTTTTTTGGGTTTTTTTACTTGGAGGGGGACGAGGGAAGAAAGAGCAACCTAATTAGTCTTCTGCACAGTTCTCCAGCTCCCTCCTTCTCACAGTTCAACTGTCTCTTCAGGGCAATAACTGTATGTTTTTCCATATATGTGTTTGCACGTATATGGTTTCCTTAACTACTCTTGAGTCCTTCTGCCTGACTCATCCACACTGGATACTTGCACAGGATACATCTTTTTAAAAGAATGCTTACATGAGACACGGGTGAAGCAAGGCAGAATGAGAAATGTTCCTTGTTGATAGCTGGGGGTGGTGAGGCGTCAGTGGAAGAAAATATTACTCATAAGTCAAGTTGGCAACTTCCCAAGCTGAACTACTGAAGGTGCATCGGAGAATGTATTTTGCTAGGCAAGAAATAAGCCTCTCAGCCTAAAAATACAGCATTAAATAGGAAGCAGGCATGTTTGTACAATAAAGATACTTCTGCTCCAGAGAGCGAATAAAGATTTTTACAAGGTATTTAACATCTGCATTTTTTCAAAGCTTTCTTGAAATGACAGAGACTATTTTCTCAGTGCAGTGAGAAACAGGACCTGAAGGCATTGGCAACATCTTTGTGAACTGGAAGGGGGAGTGAAAGAAAAAGAGCTAATGTTTTTTCCTAGAACAGTTTAATAACAGAAAATCTCCTGGAAGCAAACCAGCCAGAACTGTTTTGTTAACCCAACTGCGTTATGTACTACAGCTAAAACATACACACTAAAAGTAATTTTTGAATGCCTAAGCCCTGAAGTTAAGGAGTGGTGCTTATTTCATACGACAGGGCTAAAAAGTCTTGGAAATCCTCTCAAGCTGACAAGTTTGTACACAAGATTAACAGGAGGCAAAGGCGAAGAGAGATTTTAGTTGGAACAATACTGCACCAGCTGAGGTAACTGCAGGCATGTAGCGTTCTGGACAGAAAACACTGTATTCTCTGCAAAACAGCCCCTCTTTAGAAGGATCTGAAATCCATGCCTGAACTATAGCACCATTTGTTTCCTACACACAGCAGTAGTTTAAAGAGCTGTTGCAGATGAGACAGCAAAGCTCAGCTTCAGCACAACATAGACATACAAGCCTGACTACTGCAGGTAGCTCTGCACCACAAGAGCCAGCCTGGGACTCACCTCAAACCTGTTTGCTATCAACAATTGTCGGAACATCCTATCCTAGAGGTTTCTGCCTTTAAGGATTTCCTCCATGTTGCAAGGACACAATATAGTCCTCCACTCTGCCCAGCGAGCATAACTGGCCTTCTCATCTCCTCCACACACGGAAACATCGCAACAACCCATGCGCCCAAGTCAACAACAGATGTGCTAGAATACACACATCGTGTGCAACCAGGGCTCAGTGGCCTACCTGAAAAGCAAAGTAACAGTCAGTTATTGACTTCAACGCCCCGGTCCCAGAGACATGGGAAGGAGCCACATCCAAAACCTTCGAGGAAGCTAATTTTGTGGTCCCAGTCTGCCTACATTCCCAAGTCTTATCCACAACTCCTTCAACAACTACAGGAAGCCACAAAGTTTTTTTGTGAAGGCTAAGCTTATACAGAGAAATGCCTCAAGCTATTTTCTTACAGGTCTTTGCTTACAGAAAGACAAGAAGTAGACTACGAGAGCACCAATGAAGCTAGAGCCTCAAGATGTACAAGGAAAGCTGAATGCGAGTTGTTGATCTCATGCTCAGTTCTGGATCTAACAAAATAAATATTTATGTAGGGACCACCCTCAAGCAAAGCAGCTCCTAAGGAGTGGCAGTAACGGCTGTACTGACTTCTAGCCACACTGGCAAAAATATTTATGTTAACTGTATGCTTTTTGAGAGAGCAGGTCTTTTGTCTCATTATGTCTCTAAAACAGGCAGCCTCACTTTCTGCACGCAAATGCAGATGACAAACATTCACATTGTGTTTGCTCCCCCAGTTGTCTGCAAGTGACATTATCTTGGTTTCAAGCCACGGATTTTGCTGAACTAGAACAGTTTTAAAAATAGGTTAGGGAAAAAATATCAGTCATGCGATAGTCAAGCAAACTCACTCACCACAGTATTTTATTTTTAAGTTCAGATTTCTCTAGAAGAGTTTAGAGGGGAAAAAAAACCATGGATATATTCTACTTGTATACCTACCCAAGAAATAACATGCACTTCACATACCAGTGCAGCGCTTCTGCCACAACAGTCCTGAAGTTGGTTTGGTTTTTTGTTTTTTTTTTTTAAAAAAGCCAAGAAGAAAGATGACAATTGCTTCAAGGCAAAGCTTTAGGAGTCTTCATATCCACAATCAGAGTAGGCTGACCTGATCTGTTCTTCTACAAAGAATGAATACTGACCAGTATGTCAGGCCTGTTTGCAGGAACAGAGCAGCCAGACGGTGAAAAGGAACAACAGCATTCCCCTGTAACTGTACACAATTCACATGGCCTGGGTTACTTTAGGGTCTTGGAGAATTGCATACAATTCTGATTTTAGGGAAAAGGGATTCCACATCACCTGTACAAAGTAAGAGAGAACACACCTACAACAAGTAAAGCACTACAGGGGTCTGTGCATGCACAGGGCTGCGTCGCTACAGAGATGCCAACATTATCCAAGTAAAGCACAGTTATGCGAGGCACCTCCATGCAGTGCTGAACCTCAGCCATCTTATTCCCAGACGAGGAAGGACTCTGGTAGCATTAGCTCCATTTCTTCCTGGGCTGTACTCTATTCATACTAGCTCATAAAAATAAAGTTTAAATGCTAGGTGTCTCAAGCTTGACTCAATAAAAGGTAAGTGATTACTTGAGAAGGAGATGTCTGTGCTTTCATGGATGGTGGACTCCATCAATGACACAGGAAAAGGAGACAATACATCTTCCCTGTTTTCCCCTTCATCTGGACCAACAGCTTTCCCCTGAATTAACAAATTAGTACCACTGCACTTGCTAATTAAGTGCCTCGTACATCCAATGCCACAATAGCATCTTACTTTTTAAAGGTTTCAAGCCTAGAGAGGTGATTTGAAAAAATGCAACAGAAAGAACTTGTAAGTGCATCAGTTTGTCACAGTGCACAATGCCCAACGTACTAGCAAAAACACTGGCATTGTCGTTGAAAAGGTAAAAGTCAAAAGCCTCTTTTTCTTGCTCCTGTATTTAACAACTCCACAAACCATAGTGGGGCTAGGAGAACCAGCAATTTTTTTTTTTTTTAAAGCAATGGCAATGCAGAAGTCAGAAAGAAGACAGTTCAGCCTACAGTCAGTCTTCCTTCCACAGGATGGATTTGTGAATCTGACAAGCATTTTTATTTGTAAACCAGCCAAATTTTATACGGAAGTAAATGAAATGAAGTAAATGTGGAAATGCTTCATGCCACTTCTGTATCACTTTTTAGACTATGATCATACATTTATAGTAAGCATACTAGCACGTTACCAGCATATGATATTTCTGCTCTTTGCTATTGCATTTCCGATCTACAAAGAGGCAGCAAGAAACAGTTTCTTTTAAAGAAGCTGCAACTGACCACATGAAAGCTCCTTTTTTCAATATGGAGTCAAGAAGCATGTTCAATACACCATTAGTAAATAAATACTTGGTAGTTACCAGACTGCTTGCAATTTTGCTAGAAAAGGCACTTTTGTTCTGCTGCACACCGTACCTCTTAACTCCTGCTATAAGACAAGCAACCTGGTCTCAGTCTGATTCTTTCACTACAGACAAGACATACAGTGGGTCAAAAGCAGCATCTGGATTTGAGTTTAACACCCATTTCCTACCAATTCAACTTATAACTATTTGGTTTGGGTTTTTTTTAGGTGGACCCGCATGCTTTCAGAGCTTGCTCATTACCATTACTAGCCATAGTTCCCTCCTGATCAAAAAACTTTTCCAAATGCACCTCATGACTCTAAGACAAGTTAGGTCCCTACTCATGTTAGTTCTCTCACATGGGTTTTTAGGCATCTTTTAATCGACTGTACAAACTTGATATTATGGAGAGCTTCAGGCATCAACTACTGACCCTCTGCCTGAGCCACGGGATTTAAGAAAGTGGACAGACTGCAAGTTAAGGAGAACATCTCAGGCAGATATGGAAACATTGTAAGCACTTTAGAACTTCTGGTATTGCAGATGTCTTTAAAAAAAACCAATTGTTGCCCACAGAAAGCTTTCTAATAAAATGTCTGTTTTAAATTGCTGCTTGTTCATAATATCACTAATAAAGAAGAAAGAGACTGAAAATTAACAGTGTGACTGGTAGTGGCTTCTAACAATAACCCAGCAATCACAATCCTCAACTTGAAAATGTTTCCATCAAAAAAAGAAACATGCCCATATACACATGCACTTAATATTATCTATAAAATGGTTGTTAATCTGCATTTATACGTGCTGGAGACCAAATTAACTTCTCTAAAAAGATACTATTTAACATAAAATAACAGTTATTTTTATCAGTGGATCTTTTCAAGACACAGCTTCAGAACCGTTTCTTAAACTCTTAAAAGCAGATAAAGGAAACACAACTCATACCTGTATCAGGCATTTACTGACATCGCTAGCACAGAGAGCCTTATTGCAGCCTGTTGACGACTGGATCCACAGCAGGAACAGAAGGACAGTGACTGTGGGTGCTGTGATGTATTGCCTCATGTTTCCTGCAGGTGAGCAATTTTCGCAAGTACTTAGATGTTACACAGGCTTTCAATTCAATCACAAAGTTGTTCGCTTCTTTTTTAAAAAACACAGACACCAACATTTAAAAAAAAAAGTACCGGAGACTTTGAACAACATGACTTTCAAGAGCCACGCAAGTGACTGAAGTCAACCAGAGACGAGCATCTGCTACTTCAAACAGACAGAAGAACTGAGTTTGTTCAAAGCATTCCACCTTTCTCCCTTTGTGAAAACAGAGCTTCTCTGCAGGCGGTATTTGTTACAAATATAGCATGATTAGCAGTGTGCCAGTGAGTTCTTACTTGCGCTTAGCATGCAAACCCAGTCAAAAGAGGACCCTCTTGCCCTAGGCACTGTACCAATATATAATAAAAGGCAGCCCATGTTTGGGCAAGCTCGCAGTGAGCCTGTATTGTTCTCGTAAGAGAAAAAAAAATGCTAATGGGGCGCTGGGTTTCTTTCTTTCTGTATCTAAAAGTGTTCTTCTGCTTCATGAACTCAACCCCCCCCACCCCTCAATTAGCAGTATCTTAACATAAAAAAGTAGAAAAACAAGCCAACACGTAAACAAGGCATGACCTGGACGTTTAAAGCCCGTGTCAGATAAGCCTTTCTTACAACGGTTATTAAATGCTTCTTGCTGCCGTGGGCGCACCACCATCTGTACTTACTGAGGACTGGGAGGGACGACCCCCCCCCGCAAGAGCCGGGGGCACGCATGGAGAACACGGGATCTTCCCCTCAGGAAAGGGTCACCGCTCGCTCCCCTCGCTACACACAGAGCAAAGAAAGTTTCCCTTCACCTGGAGACGGCCCAAACCCACCGGGTGTTGCACTCCGGTAGGCCGGGCGCAGAAGCCAAGGCAAGCGAGATGCTCGGCTGGATGAGCGATCCCGGCGCCTTTTCGCACCGCGCCGCTTCGCAGCGGGCCGTGCGCGGCTGTTACGTAACAGGCTGCCGAGGAGCCGAGCCGGAGCGATGCCATTTCCACGAGCACCCCGCTCGGATGCGCTGGCGCCCCGGGCTGACCGCGCACGTCCCCTCCCCCCGGCTCCCCCCCCGCCGTACTTGCGTTTCACCGACCGCCGCTTTCCCAGACTTTTATTCGGCGTCCCGAGGACCACGACCCCCGCCCGCCGCCC